TTCATGCTACATATTATTAAGATGTCATTTGCACTCTATTTGCTTTCCATGTTATGATCTCGTTATTGTATTCTATTGTTTATATAGTTTCAAATACAAAAAATTTGCTTTTTATGCTATCTAAAAGAATTTGTAGTGGAACTTGATGAGTTTAAATGCTTTAGCTACAACACCATTTTGATTGCATTGTATTAATTCATTTACTCATAATTGTATACTGTACAATGATAAATAATGTTTCTTGATTTGATTGAAGCAACTATTATCCATAATTCAAAGGAGTCAATTAAGTAGAGTTGCTATATTGGATACTCATACAAGTAAACATTGGATAATATCATTAAGTAGTTTCTAGTTTCTACCTATAGTTTGCAATTCGAATTCATATTCGAATTCATATAAGGAATTTCTTTTGATTTTAGTTACCATTTTCTACAATTTCAAATTTAGAAAATATTATTTGCACCAATTTTTTTATAATCAAGATAGTTTCAAATCAGATCTTTAACAATTATGTAGATTTGAACTTATTTATGAGATTATAAAGAAATGCCCCTAGCAAAAAAACACCAAATCTGAATAGTTTCTACAAAACTTTAAAAAAGACCACTTAAGTTTCTTATCTATCTATCATTTTTGGGCATTATTATCTCTATAAGAAACATATGATTAAGTCATATTATGCCTACTAAATTATATAAATAGTTAGTCTAAAATAAAATTATTTTAGACTAGGTTGGATGCAAAGTGATTGATGGATAAACTTGACTTGATAATTCAGGTTGAGCTTAAGTTGGGGGAGAAATCAGAAGCATTGCTTGAGGTATGATCTTTCACGAACATATATAGATTTGAGAGACGAGGGGTCCAATTAATACTTTAAAATGTTTTATCATCCTGGATAAGTTTTAGAAGACACTTTTGGATACTTTTCAATTGCACTTCAAACATTCTTACATTTTCAAACTATCTTTATCTTTGCGGTTAAAATTCATACATAACCTTTGATCACAACAGATTCTTATATAGTATAAGGATAAGGATGTTTCATTGCACATTATTTTATTGACTCACTATGTAACTTATGATTTTTCTGTTAAAATCACATGATAAAATCATCATACTTCAGCTCTTATACTACAAAATATTAAATAATAATTATTAATTATCTTGAATAACAAGCACCAAATTCCCGCGCGTTACGCGGGCTGTCCCTCCCTAGTTAGTTTAATGAATAAAAGTTAAGGGCATTTATATGTAATAAAAGTATAAGGTGTGAATATACTAGGGAAGGGTGAGGATTTAGCCCTCCCCTTCTAAAATTATTGCTTTATATTATTTTCAATGGCCTATTGTTAGTATTTTATATGTACGCATTAAATAGAGAATAACTATTTTAGAAGTAGTTTGAAAGTATAGAAGTATTATTATTGTTGTTTTTGGCTAAATATAGTATAAAAATAGGTTATTAATGTTGCTAACTCATCAAGACATCTTAGCATACTTATCAAGACATCTTAGCAAAAAAACATTTATCAACCACAACATATGCAATTTGAATCACAACCATGTGGTTTTAAAAAGCATTTGATTTGAGTCCTAACTACTTGACTGGAAAAAAGTTAACTCCTCTGCAATGGTATTGCCGTATTGGTATATAATGGTATTGCCACATGGACTAACTCTACTTTGCAACTCTAAACTTGTACCTATTTTCCACTTTGTATTCTAAATTTTAATTTTAAACACTTTGTATCTTAAATTCTAAATTTTGGGCACTTTGCGCCCTAAACACTCAAATTTATCATATTTATATTCAATCAATGACAACTTTAGTAAAATTAACAGCACAAAGGACCCTACAATTCAATGATACTTTGCTAATAGTGGTCAAAATAAGCCAAAGTATCGCATTTAGAACAAAACGATACATTTTCATAAATTCACCATTTAATAATTTGGATTATATAAATTAATGAGAATGTGCTGAAAGCACTTAAAAAGAGCCAAGGAATTGCAATAAGATCAAAAACTATATATTGTTATTAATTTGCACCATCATTTATTTCATTAATTTTTGTGATGTTGTCCTTGATTGTACTTAATGGGACAAACTTGAAAATTTAAGGTATAAAGTGTCTAAAATTAAGAGTTTAAAATGCAAATTATTTAAAATTAAAATTTAAAGTACAAAGTAAGAAAGTGATGCAAGTTTGCAGGCATAAAATGGAATAAGTACTTGCCATTTTATAATGGTATTTCCAAGCATAATTGAACAAACAAATTCCACTTTATAATGGTATTTGCCGTATTGGTATACACACAATTACTGCCCCAAGCTGATTCAAATGCAATGCAGTTACCAAAAAAAAAAAGCAATGCAGTTAAGCAACTATGGAGGAAAAAAATCCACTTTTCGTTCTTAAATTTTGAGTGAGGGACATATTTCATTCCCAAACTTTTAGATGCACCACATTTAGTACATGAATTAATTATTTTTGGTCACATTTAGTCAAAAAACGATAAAATATTCAATTTGGATGGAGAAGACTGACATGGTCGTTGATTTTGACCGAAAAATTGTTTTTACTTAATGGCCACGTCCCAAACATATGACTTTCTCCATCCAAATTAAGCAATTTACCATTTTGGACCAAATGTGGCAAAAAATAATTAATTCATGTACTAAATATGGTGCTTCTAAAAGTTTATGAATGAAATGTGTCCCTAACATAAAGTTTTATGGATGAAAAGTGAATTTTTCCCGAAAAGCTATGTGGTAATGTGGTTGATTTTTGGTCCACTCCACTGCTCAGCGACAAACCGTAGAACTAACCCAAGACTCCTACCCCTCGTTTGTAGGGATGGCAACGGGACGGGGGACCCCTCCCCCATCCCCCACCCTACTACCTACAAATTCCCCGCGCCCCTGCCCCATCCCTCTTCCCCCGCTCCCCCTGCCCCGTCCCCGCCCCGCCCCGCTTCCCCCGTGGGTGTCCCCGTGTGGGTAATAAAAATTTATTATAGTTAAATTTTAACAAATAATCAAGTACTAAAATATCAACACATCATCAAATTATTATTCATTGTAATTTTACAATTGCAACTTATAAAAATAATCAAACAAAAATTATTTGAATACAACCCAACATGATGAAATAAATATAACCAAACTAGTCAAGTTTTCACTTTTAGCACATATACAATCACTAATTCATTATTGTGCTTGTGCTTTTTTTAAGAAAAAAATGTTATTGTATTAAGTGTAATTAGGGATTTAGTATAAATGTATTAGTAAATTTAGTATAACCAATTAATAATTTGTATTAGTACACATATATAATTATTAGTATAATTAATAATATCAATTATATTATATATACTAATAGACATTATATAATACATATAACTAATAATATCATTATCATAAGTTTGTAACTAATTAAATTATATATTATATATATAATTATATACATATATATTTTATATATTTATTTTTTTAATGCGGGTGGCGGGGCGGTGTACCCCTGCCCCCTGCCCCCTGCCCCGTTTCTAAGCGGGGGGGGGGGGGAATTCCCCACCTCCACGTCCCAACCCCCTCCCCATTAGCCCCCTACTCGATTGGTACTCGGGAATACCTAGAGTGAAAAGGCTTTTCCACCTAAAACACTTTTTCACCCATAACAGTGGGAAAAAAATTTTATTATTTCAAAATCTGGTGGACAAGTTGGAATGAAAAGTTCACTCAATTTTTAATGTTTGGTATAATCAATATTCAAATGTCAAAATAGAATATGCTGAATACAAATTAGACTTGATTGCCCTAGATTAGTTTATAGGATGTAATATGTTATATCAAATTTTTTATTTGTTCTATGATAGCATTTGTCTATTTATGTGAAATTTTAATATTTTTACTTAAAAAATGAATGAGGATTGATGTCAAAATTCTTCAATTGTAATACTTGGTTCATTTTAATATATGGATTTTTAGCAATATAATTAGCAACATAAAATATAAATTACATGATGTAACAAATTATAATTTATTTTTAATCTATTTTCAATTTTGATAAGATTCAAAAACAATTCTTGCACAATTTTTCAAAAGTCAAATAATAAAGTATCTTAAAATATTTGTTTTCTAGTATAAAAGAAAAAACTATTTTAAATATAAAAAAACTAATTATTATGAAAAATCACATTCAAATATCAATTGAACCTATAAATAACCTCAAATATCATGATGTAGTGTAAAAATTTATAAGGATAAATTTGACATCCTACTATTTAGGCATTCTAAAATGAAGTTGAAAAGTGATTTTTTCAAGCTTTTTTTAGAATGGAATTCTAAAAAAAAGTTAGAATGATCATTTCATAGAGAAAGGATTTTTTTACTTAATTGAACCATACCAAACACTAAGGATTTTTTCACTTAAATGAACCATACCAAACATTGGAATGGAATGGATAAGTTGAAAAGGCCTTTCCTTTCCAAGCCAATTCTACATACCAAACGAGCATAGTAGTTCCTACTGTATATTTTGATAATTTTGGGTAAATTGTACTAGTTTTCTTGCTGATTTCCTTGAATGCATCTTTTTTTTTTTTTGGCATTTTGAGATTGATCAACAACATACAAAATTTAAATATAATTTATTTATTTTCATAATAACAAGCGTCTATACATGACACAAAAGCCTATGCAATAAATTTGACACTTGAAAAGAATATCAAACCAATTCTTTGCAATAGATTACATAGAGTTTATTCAATCATCAACATCAACATGAACACTAAATAATATATATATATATATATATATATTTTCAACACTAGAAAAGGAAAGAAAGAAATGTTGGGATATTCAAAAGAGTTTTTGACAGATGCACCATATTCTGCTCCCCTAAACCCAGCTTCAATGACAAGGCCCAGGCCCATGCCCAGGCAACATCTATATCTCCACCCTTATCCCCACCCTTTTTCGCTAGGGTTTTATCGAGAACCTATTTCACTTCTTCTTCCCTCCGCTGCTCAAAACAAATCAATTCAATTCAATCTCAATGCCCACCAAATCTCTGCAAAAAAATGTCAAATGAAGATCGAAATCTCAATGCCCGGAGCCCATTTGGCTACTGTGGAAGCAAAGCGACGTCGTCAAACCGGTTGTTACTTGCTTTCCCAGTTGCAAAATTGCGCTTCGGCCAAGTTTCAGAAATTGCCTTTAATTAAGTTTTTTTAATAATTTGTAAAATCCTGCATATTTGCACTCATAATTATCATGGGCTTTGCTAATTTGAAATGGTAAGGCTTTTGATCCAAGAGTGCATAAAGGAAATGCTGAGTTAACTCGGCGGCGGCCAGACAACCGCTGAGATGGATCCACAGATGAATGCCCCCTTTTCCATACGGCATTTATCTACTAAATCCATCTTACATTATTTTATTTTATTTGCTTTCAACTTCTGATTTTTCGTTTAAGTGTAGTAAAAGTTAGGAGGTAGAATTTTTGTTTTAATTTTATTTCATTTTACATTTTTTTCGTTTTTGAATGGCTAATTGATTATTAATACTTTGAATCTATTGATTACATCTTGGTATTAAGCTATCTGTCAAGAAATAGATGTAAAAAGTTGTGGTCTTGTAGCACTTTATTATATTACTTGACAAATTGTATCAGTTGTTTTGTTTATATTTGCGGGAATTTGTACCCTGCATTGTTATGTTAAATTCCAAAGCAATCACCATCATGCCCTTGACTGCTAGCATCTTTACTGGAGGGCAGCTATGAAGATATGGAAGCCTCAAATGTGTGAGGGTAGAATATAGTTGTAACTGTTTATGGTTATCCTGCAGGTTTGTTCCTGGGCAAGCTCAGATTCATGATTAGGCGAGGTGGGGATTGTGTAGTTTAACAAAATCAATAAACCCTGCGATTGATTTGATGTACGGTTGAATGCTTGCAATGTGCACACAGTGAAAATCTTGCTGCATGATAAATCTGCACCGTGAAAGTGTGTGGGGGGTATGCAGCTGTGTTCGTCTGTTGTATTTCTTTGAACAACTGGCAAGTTGCAGGTTTAAGTTCTGAATCCGTTCAGCACTTGGCGTAAAGGAACAAGTGCTTCAGTGATCCCGGCTGATCTCTGCAATATTATGTTAATTGAGTTTACTAAGGAGCTTAGTGACACTCTGTATGATAGGTCCTGTATTTGTCAGAGTGTACTGCACCAATCTGATTAAATTCATACAGAATAGTTGAGATCTTATGTATTTGTTGGCAGTTGGTTTGGGAGCTGATAAATGGGCTTCTTACCGGTGAGAATTCTGCTGTGACATTTGTGCCTTGCCATATTCTTACCGGTGAGATCAGCCTTTACAGTCATACATTGCAAATTATTGGCAGATTATAAAACAATACAAGTAATAGAGCATGTAGTTGCTTATTGTGACCATTGACTCCGGTATTCCGCCAAAATGGTACCAATGTGTCTTCGGGAGCTTTAGCATTCCTATTTTCCAGAAATGCTCCGGCCGCAGGTGTATTCTTTCCGTGAAGAACTAACTAGCTCCCCTGAAACGTGAATGCGCATGTCTTCACCAAGAAATTACTATAAAGCAGATTATCGCTTGATGAGGTCGTCTATATAAAGCATAAACAAAGGAAATATCTTAAACTTTTTGTGTTGCAAATTCAGATTTGGAAACCAACATGTACCAGACACCTCCTTGATGCAGCCATGCAGCAAGATTGCTCACAATGGTGCAGCAAAAGAACTGGCATTAAAAGATATAGATAAAAGAGGCTGAGCACCACTGACGAAGAAACTGCATGGCCCTAATTCCTCCCTTGTAGGTTCTAAGTAGAACGGATAAACAAAGGTTAGAATGTCGCTGATCTGTTTATGCGCTAATAGGCTTACATCCTTTGAAAAACTAGCAGAGTTTCCAAATGCCAAATGCCATCAATTTTAAACTACTGATTCGAATTTTACAAAATGAAACGAAGCAGCACAGCTAACTTAATACATCAGATTCTTGTGTTAGAAAACCAGTGAACTAGCCAGCAATTTTCCTCATAGGTTGTACCAATCAACGGTGCAGCTAAACTGAGTACATTTCAAGAGGACGCTTATTCGTCATCTTCTTGGGTGTCATCAGCAGCTAGCAGATGATTAAGAGAAACTTTTGGTTTTTTGGTCTGTGGCAAGATATCCTTGGCAGTATCTTCATCGCTCTTCCTCTTGAAGAATTCATCTTTCTCTTTATCAGGTTCTTCACCTCTGTCTGGAACTTCTATTTCAGCAGTCCCTGCATTCTCCTCTAAAGAAGAATTTGGTCGACCTTCTGAAAATTTTCCTTTACCATTCAAGACCTCCTTGCAGGGTGTGGTTTGACACTGAACCAAGAATGCGCGAATTTCTTCACTGCCAGCCAAATCAACTGGAGTTTTACCAGCTTTGTTCTTTGCATCAATATTTGCGCCTTTTTTAATCAAGTACTTGACAAGTTCCAAATGCGAACCTTGGGCAGCATAATGCAGAGCAGTCATTCCTTTGCGATTGTGTGACTTGATGGGGACTCCGAAGTTAACGAGAATCCTCACAACTTCAGTGTGACCCTTCTGAGCAGCAAAATGAATGGCACCCATATCATCCATTGCAGCAGCTCCAACATCAGCTTTTTTGCAGAGATATTCCACTACCTTTATTTGCCCAGACCAAGCTGCTAGATGAAGTCTAAACTCAATGTTCCTCAAGGAATACACAAGACAGAAAAGTCACAGTATCCACATCTAGTGATGAGAAATGATGTAAATAGCTGTAAGGCAGTGTTTGTTCCCTGTTTCTCATATATATTAATCCCCCGCCCCCCCCTCCCCCCCCCCCAAAAAAAAGGCTCAAATGGTATTCCTCTTGATTTCTCTGGATAAGCATCACTGATATATCATTTAAGATCACATTTTTTAAAAATGTTGCAGATAAAGCATAAAGCTCTGTAATAAAAATTAAACAAGCCTCAACACGTTGATTCTGTGGACAAGGAGAGGTTATTATAATTCTCAACTTGTTTTCTGAAAAATTCTTCATCCTCCACCCCACACACTGATTGATAATGACAGTTTTGTCAGGAGCCTTCAAGTAAACTTGCATGAAACTTCTAGTTACTATAGTTTAAAACTTTATGCCTGATTTTTCAAAATTTCAGTCAAGTGTGATCTTTTGTTCTCTGCGAAAACACGTGCTGCTGGCAGCTTGCAAATACCAAAATATCAAACAGGAAAATAACCACATCAACGTTTGGAAATCCTTTTGATATGTGAACAGCACTAAACTGAAATACTGAGTCAGGCCCAATTCAATAAAATCACTTAAAATAAAAAACCAAAGAACAGGATTTCTAGGATGCTCTATCTTCTGGAAAACTACTTATCTGCGGTACATATTAAAGAGGAATGAAAAAAGCAACCGTGCTTGAATGAAAGAGGCTCAACTATACTTTTTTTCTCTCACACCACTAGCTTTCAAAAGAACAGGTGATGACTTTGCAATCATTGTCATCTAATTATACCCAAAGAAAATGGGAATGGAAAACACAAAGGATAGCCTCTGTAGAAGACATCTGAAACCAACTTGTTGTAGAGTCTAACACTTCAAACCACATAAATTAGTGCTTAGCTTATTCCTTGATCAATTAAATATCAAGTTAGCTTCCTGGATTGTGCCAAAACTAAAAATAATACCCTAAACTGGAATCATTTAATATTGCTAAAACATTCAGTGGAGTCAAATAAAATTCTAAATTTGGTAAAATCGTAAGCCTCACAGGAGTACATAAAGATTAATAATTTCACACAAAAGAAAGAAACTTGATGTTTCAAAATGTCCTGGTTGGATTTCTCAACATACATCAATTTGATATCCAATCTGCTCTTGAAATATATTTGGCAGCGACAGTTATGGACAGGAACACTATCATCTCATCAGATGGGGAAGAAAACATTAAGGTTGCAACATAGAATTAGTGCTAAAACAAAATCAGAAGTAAGCCTCTGATGTTTGAATCATCAAGACAATTTTACAAATGGCAATCAATGCAGACTGAAATTCACAACTCAAACAATCCTAAATCTTCTGGGGTCCTGAAGCATCAGCTATTAGAGGTTTTGTCCCCCTAAATTTTCATCACATTCATAGGTCACCGAGGAAACATCAAACCAAACTGTGTTAGCATACTGGCAAATAAACAAAGAATTTGAACTTGCATCACACTAATTCAAGCCCTAGTTCTCCGTTCCATCACCTTTCCTCAGACAAAAAACCAACTCCCTCATTCCAATCCATCACATACCAAACTGGGATTACACTATTTATGTATGTTCTTCATTCTTAATTTTGCTAATTTCAAATACTCATGTCAAATTCCATAGCTTAACAGCTTACATCAAAGCCTAAAACTTCATGCTCCGCCAAAAAGGCTATTCAGTAAAAACCCAATTATCGCGCAACTTACTAGGGGGAACAGAAAAAAAACAACAACCAAACCAAATCAAACCAACCCTTAATAATGATTCTAAGAAAAAACCCACTTCAATTTTGCCAAGAAACAATTTGCAAAACAAATTATACAGGAAAAGAAACATCCAACTTCATAAAACTAAACAAAAATGCCATAGAAAACAACAGAAAACATAAATGGAGTTTTAAGGAGAAGGAAGAGGAGGATACGGGGTGCGGGAGTGCTTGTCTCTGGAATTGATGGCAAGAGGATTGGTGCTGCATATTCTCTGAACAGCCTCCAGGTCCCCCGATCGAGCTGCTCCATGTAATTCCTCATCTGCAGTGTTATTTGTAGCTGATGTTGCTGGTCTTGATGGTTTCTTCGGCTTTCCCATGCTCTTCGTCTTCTTCAGCCAAAAAAATTCACAAAAAACCTGCAAATTTCTGAGCAACAGAACTTGCAAGAAAATGTAAAGTTCGGCTTCTCTGCAATTTTGAGC